ACATTATGGAAAAACTGATGATTCAAAAAATGGACATAATTAATATTCAGGGTTAATTGAGAAATATTGGAGCAAGAAATGCTTGTAGTGATGAATATCAGTAGAAGAAAGTTCAACATGATATTGATTTTGAGAATGCCATGGTTAAACATCTTAGGGGAGAGCCTAATGTGGATTTTCCTCCTTGCCCCAGTTTCACTCCCTATGCTTCTATTCGAAATGAAGACGAAGAAGAGAAAGAAGAAGATGATGATGATGAAGAGGAAGGAGATGAAGACTGATACTTTTATGAGTCTAATATAGTATGTTTTTTTGTTTGTTTGCTATTTGTGATTGAAATGTATTGTATTTTCATTTAAGAATTGTTGTTGTAAAAACTTTCACGTTGTATTGTGGACATAATTGTAATAATAACTGTTGACTTTTACTTTTTCTGTATTTTTAGTATTTTCAGTTTTTTTTTTAGTTTTTGTGTTTCTATTCTCAGCAAGTTCTTTAGAATATATTATGTTTCATTTAATACTTTAAAGTCTTGTGTATGTTTTGTATATTGTGTGTATGTTTTTAAAGTCAAAACTTGCAGTATACCAAAGCCCAGTTTCATCATAAATCCTCTATAGGTTAGTTTTTATTTTCATGCATTTACTGTTTTCTTTCACTTACAAAAATTTTGTACTAAAACATTTTTAAAATTACTTAAAAACTTATGTTTGGGGCGAAGAAAAATTTCTTTTGAAAAGAAGTAAACTAAAATTTTTTTGTCCTCAATTAATTATATTCTTAAAATTAATTAATTTAACACGACCTTTGGTATTAGAGCATAACTTTTGATAACTATATACGACTATACTTATGTTTATAAATATTGTGGTAATTTTAGGTAAAAAATTTTTAATAATGAAGGTCAATTCTAAAGTTAAAAATATTTGACATGATATGATAAGACTATACTTTTTTATTTAAAGTAAATGAAATTGTATTTTTGAAATATTAATAATTTTATAGTTTCATGTAAGAAGAAATGAATGAGACTTTATGAAAAATCATAAACTAATATGAATTTATAAAGTGAAGAAAGTTATAGAGGTTTAACTTTAAGAAGAGGATAGTGAAGTTTGGAAATCATTAAAGACTATCTAGATATAGTAATCCTCACTTGAAAAAGAAAAAAAAAATAAAAAATAAAAGAAAGGATTGAAAACATCCAAAAAGAAAAAGAAAAGAAAAGAGAAGAAAAGAAAAATAATTGAGGAGAAGCTTGAGAAGAAGCCTAATAAAAAATTGGCTTCACTTGAATCGACTTAAGGAATGAGCTACATTTTCTAAACTTGTATTAGAGTATTTGTAGCATTCCTAGTAAAGTCTTCATGAAGTTCTTTTTCATCTAAATATTCTAAATGTCCTTATTATGCTAAATTGCAATTCTTCTTGAAATAAATAGAGATTCAGAAATCTTAAATTTGATTACTAAGTATTACTAGACTTAAAATTTGACTCTAAGTTATTAAAGGTTTTCTTAAATTTTGTTATTCTATTTATGAAACTAAAGTATAGAAGTTATAAGTAAATCTATATCCTGAGTCATTAGCCTTTATATAGTATAAGTGTCACTTGAGGATAAGAAACTTTTAAGTTTGAGGGACTTTGATACACCAAAATTATATACAATTTTAAGTAAATAATTTATGCTTATTTTTGAAGATATTGCACTTTAAAGAAGGGTATTTTTATGATTTTATTTCAGTTATAACATTTTTAGGTATTTGGAGCAAAAATGAAAAAAATGACAAAATTTGAAGCTAAAACAGCCAATTCTTTGGATTATATGAGACGACTTTTTGCAGATTAAGGCGATTCGAGATGAATTTTGGGCAAATTTTCAAAGGAGCACTTTTTCTACACACCTATTGGAGTAATTCAATGCACCTAAACACTTTAGAATGTTCTTTTATGAAGGGATATGTCTCTTGGATCGAATTACGCATCTTTTGAATTTAAAAGAGTTGACTTTTAGAGAGAATTTTGGAGGGAATTTTGAATTCCTTTTGAAAGAAGGTAGCCCAAAATAAAAGAGGAAGACTTCAAGGAGTTTAGGGGGGATGAAAAAGAGAGAAAGTGGGGGTGGCGTGAAAGGCAAGGACAAGAGAAGAGGAGATTTTCTATTAGTGTTGTAAGTGGAGAGGGAAGGTGGGAGGTTTCTTCTTCACTACACTTCTAAGAGAGAATTGAGTGTGCTTGTACAGAGAGAAAGACTTAGATGAAACTTCTAGGGATTTAATTGGGAAGGATTGTGAGATAAGTTGTGTCTTTTATTTATTTTGTTTTTTAAACTTGTTTTAATATATGAAATCAGTGTTTTGTTGTATCCTTCTAATGAATTCTGAGTAGTCTTCTTTATCATTCTCCCTACTTTGAGATATGGTTTTGTGAAGAATTGAGTTTTTTTGTTATGGTTTTAAATGTTAATAATTTGTGATGATTTGAACTCCAATCTTTATTTTTTTTTTCAATCTGGCCAATTGAAATGTTAAAACTTGTTGAGAAACATATGTTCTGAAAAGGGCTATGATTTATACAATAGGAGAGAATCACATTTAATTTCATGGGAGAGTATGTCATCCATGGAATTGAGTGCAAGAGGGAAATATACTTTGTTGATACTTTGTTGGCTGCAGAAGTAGAGATTTTAAGGTGACAGATTAAAATCCCCAATTTGGTCCAGTTGATTGGAAATTGATGCGAAATTATTAGCCCTCAGGGAAGGGAGTAGTGGGAGCTCTAGAATGGTAGTCGGTATCCTCCCAGCCTAACCACAAAATTAGGGACCAAACTCTAGATTAGTCAATATTGTTTATAAAACTTGGAAGAGGGTAAGGAATAGGATTGCTCCTATTTGGCAAAAAAAAAATTTATATATATTTACAATTGATTTTAATCTTTTTACATTCCATATACTCATTTTAAAGGGGAAGGATGTTTTCTTAAATTTGAATCTTCCATCAACAAACTCTTTGTTTAGTTTTCGTAGTTTTACTTTTGAAAGTTTAATTTTTAATTAGTTAACTTTATCTTTCAATTGCATTTTATATAGTATTCACTTTAGAAGTTAATATTCAAACTTCGCACTTTACTTTTATTTTTATATTTTTAAATTCTAAAATAATTTTAAAAATCTACTTATAGGATTTTCCAACTTCCATGTGTTATTAATATTTAGAACTCTCTTAGAGGTCTTTTTTACTTGAGAGATGCATATACTTGTGTTGATTTTAAAAGGGATTTGGCAGTTTAAAAAGAGTTTTAAAGATAAACTATTTTAATAAAAGGTATTTTTGTTTAGATTATATTGTATATTTATTATTATATTCGTCGTGTATTTCGTAATATTGACAAATAATTGCAAAACTTAGACACTAAATCTAACAGCATCACTCATCTGAATTTTGGTTTATGATAGCTAAGCTATTCAGTTGCCCATTTGATTTTGGATGGTAGTGGTTATTGAGAGACTGTCCATCTAGGAATATGTGATACCTATTTAACTTAAATGTTCATCATGTCCTCTTATTTAAGCTAGAATTAGTATTTTCATATGATCATGTGCTCCTTTATATGGTTGATAAAAGTACAAATGTTGATAGTTAGAAATATTGGTCAATTGTATGACAACAACTTTAACAAGTTCGATGGTACTCTTTATGAAGTTTCATACTTGAACAAATATCTGACAAACTCTATTATGTTTAAAAATGATCTTCTATTATCTTGAGGAATTCATATTGTGAAAATAATGAAGCATTAAGAGTCGATACGAAATGGAGAGATGTTGGAGTTTACCTAACAACATTTTGTTTGATTAGACCATTGAAGACAAAGCTTTTATAAACCTACATATTATCAAGTAAACTACAACTCAACCACCCCAAAGATGAAGGAAATATATTATTTGAAGATCTACGTCATCCAAAGTTCCAAAGGAAAGTTGCAAGAGCCACCTCAACATAGAAGACAACATCTTCAATAGCTAATCCCATAGCTTACTTGATTTCAATTGTATAGCTATATGTATTAGCTTGTAAGTCATTTCCATTTGTCTTAGTTTCTTTGTATAAATAGCAATATTTGGATAGTTTTATTCGTGCTGTAATTTTGCAAGGTGAGTTTCTTAAGGTTTGCAACTTGGTCTGATAGTTTGCTCGGCTCCTTTATTCTTAGCAACTTTGAGCACTTTTGTATTTTGGTTTGATTCAAAAAATCCTCTAGATGAAAGCTTCCTTAGCTTTGTTCCCTTTCATTTCTCCATATCTAAATTGTAAAGGTAAATTATTAAGAGCTTGATGTTGGTTTACAATTAAGTTATTTAACCTACAAATCAGGTCATTTGAAATGTTAATTAGAATAAATGAAAAAAAGTCATCACTTGGCTAACCAAATCCATATGACACTTGTCATCATGTGTTATGATAACTTTATTGGTTTTATTAATTTTTTTCTTAAAATATCCATTTTTAAATATTAAATTTTTTAAAAAAATATTTTTAAAATGTAGCATTTTTTGCAAGGTTATTTAATTGACTTCTACTGTGGATAAACCACATCAGCTAGGCTCATGTCTTCTTTCCTTTATCGTAATCACTTGGAAATATAGTGATTGCAACCACACAACCGATAAAAAAATATTACGGTAGGAACAATGGGCATCTGGATGATGGTGTGCATTGTAAACCACACCATTATGCACTTAGAATAGAGTGGTGTAATCTACAATATTATCGGGACATCCGGATGACACTCCACAAATGAAACCACCCATCCTCCTGTCAGGCGGAATCTTTTGTATTTAATTTTGTTTTTCGGGTGCTATGTCACTCCTTATCTCGTCAATCTCCTATTTTTCGCTTTTTATGTCATTTTCCTGACTAATGCCATGAATGATTCACTGTAAATGAGAAAAATTTGAAATTAAAATCAACCTTTGAATCAAATCTGCTACAGCATTTGTAAGATACATTGCTTTGATATTAATTCATCGGTGTCAGTGGAATGTACCGTAGCAACAAAATTTGTGCCACTTAAGGAGACATGGTAAGAAAAACCTCACAAGTACAGCCGGATTTTCGGATTTTCTCACTTAATAGTTGTTGAAATTACCATTCAGCTTTAGCGAAACAAGGATGGCAAATCAAAGCAAGAAAAACAGAAGCAACAATGTTTGAAAAAAAAGAAATTGTAGCAAACTAATCAGAAACTATTATTCACTCCAAAATCTTTGGAAATCATCGTTTGCCTTTTAACATATTCTAAAATGTTGGAGCAGAAACCTAGCCTTCAGATCTCAGTCAGCTGCGGGGCCTTGGATGCTGGAACTTGGTCTTCAACTCTCTGTCCTTTAGCAGTAGTCTCCTTGACCAGTTGAGCTAGCACCTTAGGCTTAGACAAAATCTCTTGGATTCTGGTGCTACTCATTTCCAGCAACATGTTGGCTATCGCCGATGCATGCTTAGGCTTCGAAATACAAGAGACGCCGGAATAGTTAATTTAAAAAGAATAATAAAAAAAAAAGCAGTCTAATAGAACGTAAAAAAGATGCTACCTCCAGCTTTGGTACATTGCAGTAGAGAAATTCCAATATCGTAGACTTTCGCAGCTGAGGATCTAATTTATCAAGCTTGCTCAACAAAGCCTGCTGATCTCGGGGCACAGTGTTGCTAAATGCTCTCTTTACTCCATTACCACTTGGCTGCTGAAGCTGAACTTTCTGTGTCTTCTTTATCCCTTTTCCATATCTCGAAGGGTGAAGATATCTCTGATTCAGATAATAGTCATCCTCATATCCTTCCTGCTAACACATAAATCTTGATTATTATTTTCAAAATTAAGATCTGAATACAAATTGAAATACGGAGGCAAGATTTCCTAAGATATAGAGTTAGATATCAACTGATGGTACAACATACAACTTTATTGCCTACCTCGCCACACACAAATCATTACAAAGAATATAGAAAGTGTATAATATCACATCCATTATCAAGAATATGGGTGATGTAGTAGATTGAGCTTGTGGCCTACCGGCATATAAAATGTTTCTTGTGGTAGACAAACCATAATAGGATTCATTGGCGAATTGACAGGAGCATGGCATGTTGGCCTTAGCGGGGCAATCATGTCAGTGGGCCTCAAATAAGGTCGAACATGCTCGTTTGGGGAATAAACCTGCAGAATATAAATAATCTATGTGCAATTAATGTCTAGAATACACTCCCTCCCACACATTTAACGGAGGCTCAATAAAGTAATGAGTCTAAGATTGTTGCTTACCAAAGGTGCGGCGGTGAGATGTTGGAATGCTCGGTTTTCCATGGGTAAACCTATTCTACAGGGCTGATAAACGGATGCCACGTCATGAGTTAGTTCGATGTAGTAAGGTGGGTGGGATATAAATGGGCAATTAAAGGTCGAAGAACGCTGGCACTGCGAAGAGTTGAAGCAAGTTTCTCTTTGTTGTGCAATGGCAACGTATAGATGCTTCCCATTTAATTTGCTCCCTGGATAAAAGTAATGTCAATCAGGAAGGAAGTAGAACTATGGACTTAAATTTTTATATTTAAAAACAATTATTGCTAACCATTAAGTGTAACAACAGCTTTGCTAGCTTCTTCAAATGAAGAAAAGCACACAAATCCATATCCTCTGCACCGTCCGTTACCATAACGACATGCTTTTGACCACAGTATCTTCCCACATGAAGCAAAACGTTCTTGCAAGGCCTCATCACTAATGGAATCGTCTAAGTTCTTCACATAGACAGTGGTACCCTAAAGAATTGCAGTAAGTGCTTATTAGTAATCCGAAATTGAATGTCCGAACAAACCAATGAATAATGTGGCAACAACTAGTGCATGAGAAATTTGTGTATTAGAAGCTCCAATGTTATTCAGCAGCTGGTCTTATCAACCTGTATTTTATTGAGTTGCTGGCTATCTGCATTATTCAGCAACTTCTTCCTCATGTTCTCTCGCTCAACTTTCTTCTGAGCTGGCCCCACATAAAGTATCTTTGATCCTATTGTCACGTGTGTTACTACAGAAAAATGAAAAGGATAAAATGATTTTAGTGCTAACAACGGCAAGTGAATGTTACCAAGTTTTGCACCGTTCATAATATCCATTGCCTTTTTGGCGTTCTCTGGTGATTCAAAACTAACAAATCCAAAGCCCTTAGACTTTCCATTTTCATCTTTCATAACGACAGCACTGTTCACTATCCCAAATTCAGAGAAAATTTCTCGAAGAATGTCACTTGAGAAGTCCTTTTCAAGATTCTTGATGTAAAGATTGCTGCCGCCCCGTGGCCGTTGCGACGTTTCTTTCCTCTCAAACTTTCTAACAAACTTTGCGACGTAGCTGATACCATGAAATAAATTATGGTGGCAAACATCCATTGGAAACTCACTAATAAATCATTTCCACAGAAGTGTATGAATGTTGCACGTCAAATCTTGATAAAGCATCTAAAATTTGCTACAAAATAGATAAATAAAACATTTCCGAAAATAGCAATATGGCATCCAAGTAATCATAAGAATTCTGAACCAGAGGACATCTAGAACAAAAAGAATTAAACATTATGAGCAGAATATCCAAAATTACGCACAAACAAACAGGCAAAACAGTTCAAAAAAGGGACAAAAAAAAACCTAACAGAAGGAAAAAAATATTACACACAAAGAAAAAATATTAGGCTGATCGGTTTCCGAATATACGGGGGGAGCGAGAGCTCACAGCTTCTTGCAGGCACCAACGGGGACTGTCCCATGAAGAGCTGTCATGGCGGATAGGGCTGCCTCTTCGTTATTCATTTGAACAAATCCGAAACCCTTGTTTCGACCATTCTCATCCAGCTGCAACTTGCAAGAAACTACCTGACCAAAAGGTCTAAACAACTTCTCGAGCTCCACTCCACCAATCGATTCATCAAGATTCTGTTCATGCCCCATAAAACCCCTAGTTACATCTTGAAAACGCATAACTAGAAGGAAACATTGAACCACCCTTGAAAAGCGAGGATAGACTGTAGAGTTTTAACCTTAACGAAAAGATTGCCAACCCCATTCTTCCTTCCAATGGGGTTCCGATCAGTCCACATGATCCTCATGGGCTTCCCTTTTAGAACGACGTGATTCATCGCTTGGAATGCTTTCTCGGCTTCCATAGATAAAAAGATCAATCATAGAAAGAGATCGGCATAACATAAATAACGGGTGAGGAGGCTATTACCACATGATTTGGAAGTGAAATTGATGTAACCGTAGCGGAGGGACTCGCCTGAACTGCGATCTCGGCAGACACGCGTAGAGAGAATGGTTCCAAAGCAAGCGAACGTGCCCACCAAATCTTCCTCTGACACCCCAGCGTCGAGATCTCCAACGTATAGAGAGATTTTTTCCGGTGAAGCCACTGCTGGCATTGGCAGCGGAGTTTCCGGCATCACGGCAGGCGCAGCTTCTCCCATTTTCCTTTTGTTAGATGAGGAGCTGAAGCCACTATCTTGATAGGCTTTACAGAGAGAGAGAGAGAGGGAGAGAAAGAGAATCTGAACGTGCGAGTGCGCAAGAGAGCAGAAGATGGAAGGGAAACTGCGAGTGCGCACGATTTTATAAAGCTTTAGGGAAGAGGAGTAATTGAACGGCCTCGATTTTATTCTTTAAATGAAGAGGAACCAAGAAAGATTTTGAATGTTGAAGGCGGCGTGGAAGAATCTACGTAGCCTTTTAATGGCGCATGCGATGAACAAATATTACGTTTGGCTTCTGGACAAAGAATTACATTGGATGTTAATTGCATGGAGAAACGTTCTCAAATCCACATTGAAAAAAAAAAGGAAAATAATATAATTTGAGCCCAAAAAAAAAGGCCCGGCTCAAAATTATAATTAAGATAATGGTTTAACAATTATAGTGCTGGTTACGATGTAAACATTTAAAAATCTATCTGGTTCATATTTCTGTCAGTTAAATGGCATCAGATTTAATGTCGAATATTTTTCGATGAAAACTTAAGCTCCAAAATTGCATCTGTTTGGCGTCATAAATTGTCACAAACGAATTGTGCATGAAATAATTTCAACATAAAATATTTGCGTAGACTTTAGTGTCCCCTATAAGTGGTCACAAATATTTTCCGTCAACATTAGTGTCCACAAGTTATCAACGTAACATTTCCACTTAACAGCTTCAAACTGGCCAATAGTATTTCCGACACTAATTTATTTTAGAATGCCAAAAATTTTAATCTCGCTCTCTTCACTATTCGATAGGTTGCTCCGGCGATACATTTCTCCACTGAAAATCATTGAGTTTTCTCCGGTGAACTCGCGTCTCCCGTGATTGCTCTTCCACTCCAAGCTCAGGTAAGCTTCTCCTCTCAGTTTTCGATCTTCCCATTCGTATTTTTCCGAATGATTGTTTTTTGATATTAAAAGAACGGAGTTTCAGGGTTAGATAAGTAATACACAAGAACTGTGTGCTTTGTATGTAAATATTGAAGTTTCGTTATAAGGCATGTAATACATGGGGATCGTGTGGTTTTTTTGAAAAATAATTGAAGTTTTGGTGTTTCCTATGTAAGGTGTAAAGTTTTGGGAATATATGAAAAAAAAGGAAGATTAGGTGTTGGACATGTAATTCGTCCGAGTTGTGTGAGGTGTATTTAATTGAAGCATAGGGTTTGCTTATCTCATATATAAGAATGTTTTGGTTTGTATGTGAAATATATATAAGTTTAGGTGTTGGATATGTAATGCATAAGAATTGTGTGGTTTATATTAAAATATTGAGTTTTAGTTATTAGAAATGTAATATATGAGAATTTAGTGGTTCTTAAAAAAAGAACAGATCTCTGGTTGTATGAAATGTAACACATAAGAAATTAGTGGAATGAATATAAAAGTTGAAGTTAAGATGTTAGATGTACAAGTCATCTGGCTTGTGTTTTATGTATCTACAATTGAAGTTTTGGGCGTAGCTATGTGATCCCGATTACCTATATATATATATATATATATATACATATATATATATATTTGTAAAATGCGATGTATACGATTTTATGATTAATTTTCTTAATAGTTATTCTTAATTTGCGACCAAGTCAAAAACTTGACCAAAGCAAAAATTAGGTAAATTTTTCACTATGAAACAAATAAGAATGTAATTATATTATTTCAATATGGGATACTACCAAGTATACGTATTATTATCAAGTAATATACAACTTTCTGATTAAGTCTCAAATAATGAACCTATGGAGAGGACTAAATTTAGATAGCAAAGTTTTACTTAGCAATATACTTTTACTAAAACATAAGATGCTAAAATAGGAATGAAAGTTTGATTCTTTCTGTAATTTTTTATAATTAAAAATAAAGTAAGAAACTAATTAACTTAACTAAAATACTTGCAAAATGAAAGCATTATAAATAAAATCTTTTTTTTTTATTTTTATGAATCAGTGATAAATATAGAAATTATATTGTGGAAGTATGCTAAATGTGTTGTGTCAAATAAGAGCAATAATATTTTTTACCCGTACTAGAGATGCTATATAGAACATTGGCTAATACATAGTTTGACTAGTCATAAAGACCGGCTAGGCAGGGAGAAACTAGCTCTCACACTAGAGTTCCCTCTTCTCCCTCCACCTGGGGCTCACATCTCCATCTCTTATCAAAACCTAAAACTAAAAACCAAATTGGGGGCTTTAGCCAGTTACTCTAAAGTTCTCTAACTCTATAATTTTAAAAAGTTTTTTTTCATATTTATTTACACTCAACCCCATGACTACATTCTCATTCGTGAAATCAATATGTGATTCAAACCATTTGTTGGCTGAGACAATACCGTCTCAGATCTTACATCTCACAACAGGTATTAACATCTTAATTGGTCAAATTAAGAAGTAAATGAAGTGCAAGGTTTCGAATCATCACAACTTCTTCCAACAATGAAGTCTAATACTTTACACAACTTCCTTTAAGTATTTAATCAGTTATCATTTTAAGGAGAAAGATAAAAAAACTACTCAGAATCCATGGAGAAAACATGCACATGAGTTTAAGGAAAAAGATAAAAAAACCACACATGAGTTTAAATGTAGAAATACTTCACAAAAAAAAAATATAAACTAAAACCAAGTGCTGACACAAAGATAAACACTTATCTCAAATTCTCTCCATCAAATTTCTTGAAGTTCCTTTGAATTCTCTTCCTTCTCTCACAATACAAACTAACACTCAAAATAAAATAAAATAAAATAAATCTGGTCAGCGGTGGCGGCAGCAGCGATGGTGGTTGTAAGGTTTGATGGGTTGCTGGCCTCCCTTTCTGGAAAATCTAAGTGTTTTCTCATAAAAATCCAAGGGGTGTCATGGTCTCTCTTCAAAAAGGTGTCTCCATTCAATGAATCTTCTAGAAGTTGCCTCCTCAAAAGCCAATTGAATGAATTTTCATGTCCATGGGCTATTTCCCACGTTTTTATCAAGGTTTGCTTCAAACACCTTTTCAAAAAACCGCTCAAATTAAATAAATCATCATGTAACTACTTCTGGCACTTAAGCACGGGGTACCTGGCTCTTAGGCGCGGAGCATCTGGCGTTTAGGCGTCAGACTTGAGCGTTTAGGTGCCCTTGTACATTTTTTGCCCCTTTCTTCATTTTTGCTCCAAATTTGACCCTTTTTCACTCCTTTTAGCATTTTTTATCCATTTGATTATATTTTAAAGAAAAACACACAAATACCTTTCATTAAAACACAAAATCTCAAAAATAGGTATAAAAATATGTATAAAAATACTATATATTTTAGGCGTATCAAAATATCCCATACTTAAGATTTTACTTGTCCTCAAGTGGCCTTTCAATATTTAAAAACCAACATAAGTAGATAATGTATATGAGTTTCGTTAGGAGTTACTAAGTTAGGAGTTACTAAAATTTAGTTACTAAAATTTTGATGTTGAAATATAGTATTCTAATCTAGAAAAAAATATTAGTAAATGAGACTAACTTAATATTTATAAATTTTTAATGTTCAGAAATATGAAAATATGAGTTTCTATCTAATTCAGAAATATTGTAGATTTTTCAAATATAGATTGTATTTTATCATCTCAACTTAAAAATTTTTATTAAGCATAATTTTACTCACTATATTATATCCTTAAGCTTAAGAGTTTCTCAAGTCTTATACTTTAAAAAGATCAGATGTGAAACTAATTTTTTATTAGACACTAATCCTCAAGCTTCTCCTCTCTTTTTTCAACTTTTTCTTTTCTTATCTTTTTCTTTCCTTTTTCTTATCTTTTTCTTTTTCTTTTTTTTCCTTTTACTTTTTCTTTTCCAGGCAAGAATTACTAGATCTGGATAGACATTTAATGGTTTTGAATTCCACACTTCCATTTCTAAAGCAAAGAGTTGATTTTTTTCTTTCACGTAAATACATAATAATAGGTTTGAAAATTAATTTCAATAAAAGAAATTTATGTGTTGAAAATAAAAGGTCTAAATTTCTAACTTTTTTAAAAATACAATTTCTCCTACTAAAGACAGTTACACTTTTTTTAACATTTTCCACACTAAAAAAAGTTAACTTTAAGTTTTTCTTTATTATTATGAACTTTAACTACATTCTCTTACTCATTTCTAAATTCAAAATTTTACTTCCCTAATATAACTTCAAATACATAATAATTTTTGAAATCAAAATCAAATTTCAATTGAAATACATTTAAGAACAAATTAAGTTTCTTTAAAATTTTTCATCCCCCCCAAACTTAAATTTTTAATAGAAATAAAACATTTTAGCATCATATATAAATAAACAAGAATTAATATTAACTATAACATGCTTGCAGAAATTTTTATATCCTAAATATGCAAGTGCAAAAATTAAAAATAGGAGTAAGAATTTAATTGATCAAATTTTAATTAACTTAATATAGAGATTCATTATGCAGTGGAATACATTATAAAAGCAAATAAACACACTAACAAACATACATGATTGCAACATAAAGAAAAATAACTGGTAGTAAATTAAAAATATTAAACATGCAGATTTAAGTAGTAAGTTAGCTAAATTCTAAACCATTCTAATATTCCAGAATTATGTTCAGCAAAATCTAACTAAATACAACAACACAATTAAAACAATTTCTACCACACATAATAACTACTCACTAAACACAAATACATCACAGAATGTGTATGAAACAAAACACAACATAATAAAAACTAGCATTTTTTACAATCACAACTGAAAACATAACAAAAAGTATAGAACACTAATACCTACAAAAGTTCATAACAATACAAAAGCTAGAATCATAAAACAGAACTAAAGATCCCAACTAATCAACACCCTCTTCTTCATCACTATCATCACTAGGCCTAACAGCTGCAGGCTCATATGGTGGATATCTAGGATACTGAGGAAATACTACATCTTGATTTCCTCTATTGAGATGCTCCATAGCTATGTTGTATTCCTCCTGATAATCACTTTGTCTCTGCATATACCCATACATATGGTCTGCAAAGTGCTCTAAATTCAATACCTTATCCGCAGTGATGTTAACATTGTCCAAAATCCTCCGTAATATCTCTGAGTGAGAATCAAATCCAGAAGTATGACTCTGTGATAAAGTTGCATGTGAATTAGAAGCTCTTGGAGT